TGTGAAATAGCTTCCGTTGAATATTGAGGTTTACAAATACAATGAGTGACTGCTTAAGTACTTCTGCGATTTTCTAAATAAATGTTTTTGTAACTTCTGTGTATATTCTGAAAATCGATAAAAATTTTAACAATATAATTATAGCAGTTCGCTCAGTCACGACAGTATGAAGTCTCCTAATTTTTTTGTATAATAACTTTCTCTTATTTTCAACACTGATCTTTTCCACGTTTTGAAACGCTTCCATCATTTAAAAGAGATCCAGATGTATTTCATTTTATTCTCTCCGATACAAATTGAAATGAAATAAAATCAAATTGAAAATTCCAAAATCAAGTGACATAATGTCTTGTTACGGACAACTTCAAATCTCCAATGATACCAATGAGAGATTAAAGTTCAATTTTTGAGTTACATTTTGACATATAGATTGATTCTGGTGAAACGAAAGAACCATCTTCCTATGCTATTGATTATCTACACGAATCAACTCGAAACTAACACGATTCGAACCGAGTGATTCGATAGGAAGATGGGGTTCAGGTTTTTCTTTACTTACGATATTTGTAACACGTTACTCACATATTACTGAGGAAATGTACTCTGTAGTTGCATTTAGATGTCCTAAAATCTAGTCATGCTAATTGTCAAGTATCGTTAAAATTCCTAGCACCAAACGGTTAAACTGAATACATTGAGAATTGTAAACTTTTGGTTTTGTAAATTGTTGTTTCGAATCGAGTAACAAATTCGACAGAATTTTCGTCAAAATTTGGTTTTACTTGTCTAGCAGCAATCTTTGTACTCCATTAACTTTTATCCGACGTGTAGAACTTGTTTTGCAATTGTACGTGTGGGAGTGTTTTATTTTTTTTTTTTGCTTTCGCAACAGTACGTCAACAGTTTTGTATCCGTGCAAGCACAGTTTCGTGTTTTCAACAGCGTGTGCAATGGTTAGTGTGAATTAATGAAAGCGGTATCTTTGCAGTTGAATGAAATTACGGAGACATGTCAGTGTATGAACTACAATATATGTATTCGAATACATAATGCGAGTATAATAATGTCCACGTTTGTGTACCAAACCGTACCTAACCGTGACTAACATCTAAACCCAGCTCGATAGACACACAACGCGACAATCGGCCAAATTACTTGTTCGCGAAATGATCGAAAATTGTAACTTCACCTCCTTTCGTGTTAAAAGGTACACTTTCCCTTGCTTTCTTCTTACGTATCGCTTTTCTTTTATCGAGAGTGTCGATTCCACGCCGATGATCACTATTTGATAACACGCACGTGTGTAAACAAGGAAATAATGGAATAAATAAAGAGAAAGATTAAAAAAAAAAAAAGAGAGAGAGAAAGAGTGCCGAAAAGGATACTATACTGGCGAACATTACTAACTGGGTGTTGTTCTTCTTTCTATTTATTCTGCTTCCTACGTGACTCCTCCGTCCCCCGCCGCTGCTGGATTACGCCCAATATCGTCGAAAAACCAATTAAACGAAACATACAAAACATACGTCTCTGTAAATACAACCGAAACGGGAACCGCAGGACCGGCCGATAGTCTTACCGATCTCCACGATTCTTCAGGTAAGTAGCATGGTGTGTCACGCTTATCGGACAAGACAACTAGCTCGCTTGCGAGATGTTCTGTACGCGTAACTTAACAGTCCATCTGGCTGTAATTTCCCCCAACGAGGAGAAATGCTCTTCATTTTCTCGATTGCTTCAAATCACCCGGATTCCTTCTTATTGCTATATGTGCACATCAGTACGACGCTTTTCTGCTTGTTCCATCCGCGTTGTTGAATCATACGTCGATCGTTAAAACTTGGCCGAATGGTCTTCCCTTCGATTGATCAAACTCATCTATCGCTATTCATCTTCGTAATCATGGAAGAGATATGTAACAGTATATATCACGTTACTCGATTCTCTTTGCAAGCGAATATTGGCAACTGGACAATTTAAAAAGAAAAAAGAAAAAAAGATTGAAACCTTGAACAAGTGTAATTAATAACAGGACAATTTTCGTTCCTGTTGGAAAATTAGGCAATATAAGATATAGAGAAGAAATCTATATTGCGGTGGTGAAAATTTTTCAAAGAACAGTTTGTAATCGATGGAAGATGGAAGATGTATTCCCCCGTTTACATTCTCAAATGTAATACAAAACCATCCTTACATGTGCATGTACATACACATGAGAAATGGGATATATGAAGGGTGGTATTTTCACCACTGTTAGGTGGACTACGATTTGCGCGAAGTTTCAAATGTTCAGTTGCCGAACTTCCCTTGTTAATGCAGTCATGCGCAAGGTAAACGCTTTGCTGCCTCTAGACGTTGCTGCACGTTGCCGCGATCACGACGATTGCGATCATGTGTCTAATCGATTGCCTAGCGCGCCGCTGCTAATCGCTCGAACGAATGGGAATGAATGATAAAAAGAACAGAGGAGAAAGAAGTGAACAGGATGGAGAGTGAGAGAGAAAGACGGTACGCTTGAAAAAAGCTAGCACGAGCTTGAGGAGAGTACGCTTGTCACAGAAGCTAATTATCGCTGATGCCGCTGGGAACGTAACAATTAGCCGACAAATTAGTAAAGGAGAGTTCGTGCCTCTAGTTGAGAAGCATTCCTCGCATGCCATACGTGGCTCATAAACGGCTCGTGACTGTAATCCACTTGCCGTACCATACCGTGTACCATGGCGGCAGTTTACCATCGCTGATACCGATAAGAGTTCATGCGCGCGTACGTCCCAGCGTCCTTGCAGCTGAGATCAACAGGATACGCAATCTGACGAGACCGTCGACCGAATCCTACACGGAAAAGTATCTTCAATCCAAGGATCACATCGTAAGTTTGCCACGTCTCTCATCGTCGTGATATCTGTTCAACGGAACACACAGTGCAACCCATCATTCGTGGCCATTAAAGCATGAGTGTCATCATCCATGTCATCGACGTGTCGCCATCATCACCGATCATTTCTCGTCTTCGACACGCAACATCAGGCATCCTCGCCCTGGCGGAATCGCGTCGTCTTTTTCGTGGATACGTACGATCTTTCACTCCTGGCGTTACCGATCGTTACCGATCAACAGTTGTTGTCGCACTTGACTCTGGGAGCATCGTTAATTCTTCGAACACTGTGCGACTTCCGTGTTTGAAGAACCACGCTATGCTTAACACGTGCAACTCACAGTCTCGTGTCGTATTTTCGTCGCGTCTTCTCATTTCAGAGTATAGAGTTTCTAATCAGCTAGCTGGATTAATCGAAACGATGAACAGATTGTAGTAGATAAATTGAATTATATACCGCTCTCGTAAGAGAGACGGCCCTCTGTTTCGACGTATACTTTATGTGTCTCTCTTCGCAGTACTTCGACGACGAGGCGAGGGAAATACGTGCGAGAGTGGATTCCCTTCTTCGACGAGTTCACGTCTTCATTCCGCGAGCCGTAGCAAGGTATTTAAAAGGTGGAATTTCCTTTAAGCATCAGACGTGAACGTCACGAGAATTTTCTTCTAAAAACGTAAATGTAATTGTTGAAAATTACGCGTAAAGGAAGTAGAAGATAATGATTTCTTCGTTGTATAAATATGTCTGACGTGCGTCCGTCTGACGTTTACAGGGAATCCCACCTTAACGCATGTAACGATTGTTATGTAATTAGAACGAAAACGAAACCAATAAAGGACAGAATACTAGTAATAAATATTTTTTAATGTTTTGAGTG